ATCGTGCTGCTGGCCGTGGGCGTCTGGGGCAGGGTGAGCCTGGCCGTCTACTTCTCCTTGCTGGATGAGAAGGCCACCAACGTCCCCTTCGTCCTGGTGGGCGCCGGCACCGTCGTCGTCCTCCTGGGCACCTTCGGCTGCTTCGCCACTTGCCGCGGCAGCACCTGGATGCTCAAGCTGGTGGGTGGCCCCAGACGGGGCGGGATGGCGTCCCATCCCGTCCCGACCCATCCTGACCCATCCCGGCACGTCCCGTCTTTCCTAGTGCCAACCTACCCCATCCCGTCCCATCCTTCCCCATCCCATCCCAATCCCATCCTGTCCACCCGTCCCATCCCGCCCTTTCTGCCCGCAGTACGCCATGCTCCTGTCCCTCATCTTCCTCATCGTCCTGGTGGCCGCCGTTGTTGGGTTCGTCTTCAGGCATGAGGTGAGTCTGGGTGGCAGCTGCTGGCTCCCGATACTGTGGAGCGAGTTTGGTGCTGGTTTTAACCCAAGTGCAGTTGCAGATGTCATGGGAAGGACAGAGGTGCTGCTGGAAGCGGTGCTTAGTTTAGTTAAAATGGGGTTAAAACAGCCCAAAGAGCAGCTTAGTCCCCATAAGGTCCCCATAAGGACAAGGGTGGGTGCACGGTCTGCTGGGCACAGCACGCTGCCCCTGAACTAGCCATGGACTTTAATTTCTGGCTTTGGTCTATCTTCTACAATAATTTTTGTAATTAAAGCTCCTCTGAGGGTTCCTGTGCCATGGAGCAGCCTGCTTCGAGGGGGGAGTTGGCACCGCGCAGGTCCTTGTTATTACACACAGCACCCCTGCTGCCCCAGCGCATCCCAGCCTGCCCTTTAATACAGCATTTAATTGCCTGGGTAGCCGGGAAATGTCTGCTGGCCACGGCCAGAGTCATTCCTGCCATCGCCGGGAGGTGACTAATGCGGGGCCGCGGGTCCCGGCACGCGGGAAGGGACGGCACCGCTGCAGAGATCTCTCTCTTGCAGATTAAGACAAACTTTGAGAGTAACCTTAACCTGGCCTTGAGGGACTACAACGTGACCGCGGATCGGCACAGCGAGGCCGTCGACACCATCCAGAGGACTGTGAGTGCCCCAGGCTGGTGGTTTTGGGGTGGTGGGTGGGTACACTCTCCTCGCCCCGGGGCATTCCTGGGGACCCCCTGTGGTATCGGCATCCCCAGCGTGGTGCTGGGGGTCCTTTTGCACCGAGGGCTTTTGAGTCTGGGAGGAGGTGCTGGGTGAGATGGGGCAGTTCCTGGAGATGTGAAGGCAGGGGAGCTGTGGGAGTGATGGTGGGACTAGGGGGTCAGTACCTTGGTGTGACCGTGCTTCCCAAATGCACTTCCCCCTCCAGCTGCACTGCTGTGGGGTGCAGAACTACTCGGACTGGGAGAGGACTGAGTACTTCACCCAGAGGGGCATCCCCCGGAGCTGCTGCAAGAGCCAGGACGACTGCTCGGAGGAGGATCTGAAAGACCCAAGCAAAGCAAAGCTGAAAGTGTTTGTGGATGTAAGTTAAGCTCAGAAAAATCCCCCTGCCACTCCTGGAGGTGGGGAGGGCAGAGTTGGGTGTGTGGAGAAAGGCTTGCCCTTCCCTGGGAGGCTTGAAAGAACTGCTCTCTCTTTGCAGATACCCAGGGTCTCCTGTGGGGTAGAGGGAGGGGAAGGGTATGGAGGAACAAACCCTCTCATGTCTGAGGGCCCCCCCACTCCTTCCTTGGAGGTCAGGGACCAGCTGGACCCAAGTGTTTGTGCTGGGGGCTGTGTGTTTTGGAGAACATGGGAATAAGGAGGTGATTTCCCAGTAAAGTCTGTTTCGGCAGTGCTGACGTCTCCGCACAGCCGTGCGAAGTCCTGACCCCAGCGGTGAGCACGGGTGACCTCATCGGGCAGGGAGGCCGGGTGATGCAAGGGGCGTTCCTCTGATGAGTCACTTTGCTCAACCCAGTGCTCCCCTTGATACCGCAGCTGGGCTGGGAGGCTGGTTGGGTGCAGTGCTGATAGGGAAATGACTTTGCTGAGGTCAAGTGGGAGGGTGGCAGCCAGAAGCCCTTGGCTGTCCATGTGGGAACATCTTCTAGAGCTGCCAGTGCTCTGGAGAGGTGCTGGTTTGTACTCCCGGAGGGTGAAAAGCACTGGACTCACATGCTCACTTTCCTCTGCAGGGTTGTTTTTTCCTGGTGACGTCGACAATGGAGTCAAAAATGAGTGTTGTGGCTGGAATCTCCTTTGGCATTGCATGCTTCCAGGTAAATCTCCCTTTGCCTGGCGCAGGGGGAGTGCAGAGTGAAGCTAGCATGTCTCCAGAGGTATTTAATTTCTGTGCAAAGTCTGGTGTGTGTACAAAAGGCACGGCCTGTTTCAAGCAGGGAGGAGCAGCTATTCTGCAGATTCTCCTTGGGTTTAATCTCACCACTGTGCCGTCTCCAGTCTCTTAAACCCAGGCCTGAAGGACTGGCTCTGTTTCTGTGAGTCCAGGTTATCTGAGAAGAGTTCCTATCTGTAACAACTGACTTCAAGAAAAACTAAATGGAGCCTGTGCTGTGCCAGGCAAACTCCCTGCTGTTGGCAGGATCATATCTGCACCCACCAACCTCCCTTTTTATCAGGGAGGCATTTTGGCATCACTTCTGTGTGGCTTGCTCCCTGAGAGTGCCCTGCTTGTGCTGGCAGCTCACACCCCACACATTGCCTTACCGTGCGATTGCATCCTCTTGCTCCCACTCCCCAACCTCTCCGTTACTACATCCTGTAGGACGCTTCCTGCGGGAGCTGCAGCAGCAGCACGCCCGCCAGCCCCTGCTCCGGCAGGCTTTATCCCGGCAGGCTTTATCCCGGCAGGAAGCGAGAGGCCCCTGCCCCCAGCTCCGCCACGCTGGGCGCGCTGATGCCGCACCGGGGTTTCCCGAGGTGCCGAGGGTGTTCCGACGCACCGTAGCGGGAGCTGCAGGATGTGTGGCCATCCCCTCTTTAGCTGGTTTGTGGAAGCTTGCTGCATGCTCGGCACTAAGCAGCTGCACAGCGAGCTCGACTGGTCTTGATTTTGGAGGGGCTTGAATTTACCCTGTTGATCCAGCACGCAGAGGCTGTGGCCTGAGCTTCAAGGCACTGCCACCCGGGACCACCAGCTGACTGCGCCAGCATGGGGAGAAGGAACCCTGCCAAGATACTTCTCCCGTCATGAGCGTGTTGCTGTGTGTTTCCTTAACGGATGGACTGAGCTGGGGGAGAGGTGGGAGCCAACAGCCCCTGACTGCAGCTTGTGCTACCAAGTGCTTTTAATTGTGGCTGGGAGAGCCCCAGAGCTGGAGCCGCGCTGCTGTGCTCACCCCGCTCTCCTCCTCAGTTGGGCTGTGCTCGCCGTGGGGTCACCGAGACGTGACGGACACACACACAGTGAGCTGCACACTCCCAGCTGCGAAATTATCTCAGCTGATGCCAGGTTTGGGAACTGTAACCAGTTCCTGGCTTTTATCGCTCTTTCAGCAAGTCTTGCTGTGTTGTGCGGCCAGCAGGGACCTGTCATGCAAATGTGCCTCTGAGTTTGCTTGTGTAGGTCAAACTCCTGCAGGATCTGGCCCTAAATGTCTGTGCGGGGGCTGGGAGACCATGTCGTGTTAACAGTAGCGTGTCCTTCAGATGCTGATGCAAAACCAGCAACCTTGCTACCCCGCTGTCCTTGCAAACAGGGAGACGTGGCTGCTGTTCTCTAGTGGCTGGGTAATTGGCTGTGACGCTCTTGATATCTGTGTAATCTCTGAAATTACCATAAAATAGCACATGCTTCATGAAGCAAAATGTAAGAGGACAGGATGTGGAGCATCTCTTGTGAGGAGCTTGTTTGCCTGATGCCTGCCAGGATCCTCCTCTTCAGCCTCTCTCAGTTAGTCTGAAGCAGGGCGCAGCAGCCCATGTTGTGGTTTGTAAATCCCACTGTCCATCCTTGGATTTTATAAAACTAATTCTCTGGAGCAATTGGTCAGGCTTATTCCCTAAAATGCCTCATCCTGGTTTTGGCTACCTGTGATTTGTATGGTTTTTTTTTTTCTCTTTTTCAGTTAGTTGGCATCATTCTCGCCTGCTGCCTGTCCCAGTACATCACAAACAATCAGTACGAGATGGTGTAGCTGGCTCCCAGCACACTGTGGCTGTGGCCAGGTATGTCTGTCCAGCGGTGTGAGCTCGGTGGGCTGCCTCTGCTGCCTGGTTTCCCCTGGGGACCTTCAGCACGGTGGCGGGTACCATGTGTGGGGATAGAGGGCACCTGGAAGACTGCTGTGTCATTTTAAACTGTCTATAAATCCAGCCTTGTCTGTTAACGCTTTGTCTTGTGCACTGCAGGGTATGCTCTCTGTGGCTGGGGAGGATGCCACCACTGCCAGTTTTCCTCTGGATGCCACTTCGTGAAATCTTGCTTTGAACTGACTGATCTTCTTCTCAACTAGCTCATAGAAACGAGTGCAGCAGCTGTCCTGGTGCGCTCAGGGACTTGTCCTAACACTACTCTGCTGTGCCACCGCGTGCGATAATTAGTGTAGCTGCAGTGGTTACAGCAAGCACGCTCCTCTGGGCGCCGCAGCCCCCAGCTCTTTCCTTCGCGGCACGTTCGAGTGCCGTGCCGAGCCGACCGTGCTGGCAGCCTTGCTGGACGCCCAGTGCTCATCTTTGGTGCCTCCATCGGGAAAGTGATGCTTCCCCTCATCTCTGGCAGCCCCTCGATGTGGTTGCTTTCGAGATGGGACTGCTGCCCTGTTAAAACACAGCCCTGTCTGCTGGAAGCCCTTGGCTCAGCAAGGTCTCGGCTTGTTGCCAAGCTCTCTCTCATCCCTGCCCTGGGTTTTATATACTTTTTTATAGTTGTACTTTTTAAAGTACAGGCTGTAGTGATCCTTTGTAAGCTGTAGTGAGGTTTGGTGATGTAGCTCCTGGTGCCTTTACCTTGGTAGGTGTCCTTGCACCGAGTCAGCTGTGACTTGATTGTCAGTATTATATGCTGCTTTAACTCGTTTTGTGTATTGAGTAGAACTCTTTTGTCCTGAGACACAATAAATATTAAGATATTTTACTCTATGAAACTGCCTTAGCTTTTCTTTTCATCTCCTGGAAATTCCTCTGCTCAAGTCGTTGCAAAGAGCAGCAATTCCCCCCCCGGGAGATAATCCGCTCGCCCCGGGCCAGCCGGTAACCTCTGGACCATTGCAGCTCGTGTTTCTCCTATGCTCACTGGTGCACTTGCGCTTACAAATAACTTCTGTAATTGAATTTTCTTCATAACAGCGGTTGTGTAAGAGTGCTGAAGCAGAAGGCCTGGAGCATCCCAGCCCAGGAGCCAGGTGAGTTCAGCCCCGTGCAAACGCGTGCGTGCTGTGATGGCTGGCTGCTCGCTTGGGGCAAAGGGCAGGGCAGCGTGCTGGAGCTGCCTGCGTCCCCAGCCTCTCCCCAGGGCAAGAAACGTGGATTTAAGCTGCTGTGTTCATTTGATACTGCTCACCTTTGGGCTGCTTCACTAGCAAGTCTTTGCCTTATTAGCACAGTGCAGCAGCAGTGTGGTGAAGCTCCCCTCCTGCCGATCTTGGGGGATTTTTGGGTCTCAGTCACCAAACTTGGAGCAGCTGCTTGGCTACCGGGACTGCCTCTCCTGCTCTCGGTGAGGAGGCAGGTGTAAAAGGAGGGGTTAAGCCACAGGTAGGAGTGGTGGCCCTTCCTCAGCGTCAGCATCAGCCCTCCATCAAACACTGCTGCGGTTCTGGGTGAGCTACCCCAGCCAAACTGCCCCGTGGTGTGGCAAATGGCCAGGTATGGGGCAGCCTCACTGCTGACAGAGGAACCCAAAAGGAAACACTCAGAATCCTTCTGTTGCGTTTAACCCGGGTGAGTAAATCAGACTGTTGTCAGCGCCTGGCTGGCTGACAGCCTCCTGGGTCGGGATGGCGAGGCAGCGTGCGTCAGAGCATGGAAACCGGGTTGGAGAGATCGGCTGACGACAATTAATGGATGGATGGAGACAGGGCAGGAACACGTGAGAAGCAGGGCCAGGTCTGGATAAACCCATCCTCATCAGAAAGCCTGTGCAGAGGGAGGTGACCCTGCTCTGGTGCCTTTTTGGCTGGCCTCGGTGCTGGGCTGGGCAGTGCTGCCTGCAAGGGGCTCTGCAGGCAGCAACTTCCCGGGGCAGAGGTGATGCCGGGTGGGCAGGGACGGGTGTGACAGAGGAAGGCATGGGGAGCCCAATGGTTTCTGAACTGATGCAGGAAACCCAGCATGACTCTGTGCTGACCTGGGTAGTGCGGAGACCTGTCCAGCCTGCTCATCCCCATGGCCAGCACCAGACACTGTGGCCATCAGAGGGTGCAGATTTTATCGAGTTAAATAGTGCTTATGTAGACACCTCACTTTAATTTGGAGAGACATCAGTGATGTCCTGGAGGTACAGGCACATGCTGGGGGAGATGCCAGGCAGACCTGGGACCCTGCTGTCCTGGCAAAGGCATTGGATGTACCTTGGTGACCCACCTGGACCCACTGAGCTGGGACACCAGCACTGCTGGCTGGCCCCAGGGCTCTGGTTTCCTGCAGCAGCTGTGGCTGGGTGGGTTTCAAACATCTCCACAGCATTCAGACTTCCCCTCTCAGGGGGATAAATGTCTCTGGGGACTTGTCAGAAATGCTTGGTGTCCCCAAGGCTGGTTGGTGTCCCCTGGGATGCCATGCAGGGAGCTCTGCTGCACCGTGTTCCAATGTTTTAACCACATTGTCAGTGCAACAGGGATGGAGGGAACTGCCCTTAGAATGTGCTCACATCCCCGTGGGAGCCACAGGGATGCAGGGAGGGCCTGGCAGCCCCAGGGACATCACAGCCAGCACCTGGCACAGTGGCAGCAAGCAGAGCCTGACCTCTGCTCCCTCCTCTGTGCGCATGGCTGAGCAGGCTTGTCCATCCAGGCATTTCCCTGGAAAGCACTGGCCATGGCAGCGTGTACTCCCTTGGGGATGCTGAGAGGGTTTTGCCTGGTGACACCCCCGGGATGTCAAAGGTCCTCAGCAATAGCCAGGTCCCTGGGATGAGAGCTGGAACCTGGGGGCTGGCCTGAGCACCAAGGCTGTGCAGGAGGAGTTTGGCTGTTAGCCCTCAGCACTGCTGCAGACAGTGTCCTGCTCAGAGTGGCTGCAGTGTCAAGGACTTTGTTTCTTGCAGCTCAGGTTTTTCCCATTTCTTGGTCACAGGACTGGGAACAGCTGATGGCACATGGGGTCCACTGTACCTCTGTTCCCTCTGCCCAGTTCCCCAGGGAGTCCTTGTGCCTGCTCCTGCCTCTGCCTTGCCTGCACATGGCCATGTTGCACATCGCTCCTCAGGGGATTGGTGCCATCCCTGGGCTGTCACTAGTAACTACCTAGCACATCAGAGCACGTCGGAGCAGAGGGTCGGGATGTGCTGAACAACTACCAGCTCCATCAGGGAGCAAATTAGGGACCTCCGCACGTTCCCAGCGAGGCGAGTGCCGGCAGTCCCGGTACCTGAGTTATGGATGCTCGTGACAAGGCAGCCGAGCAATTAGATCACTTCTCAGACCCATTAAGCATCACAGACTGAGACTAAACGACTTTCCATTTTCTTTGCAATCGCTCATACAAGACGTTTATTGTTTGCCTCTTGCTGCTCAGCGTGGTGATGATGCACTCGAGCATGGCCTCCCCCAGCCCCGTGGGAGCAGTGCAGGATGCCAGGGGGACAGGCATAGCACCTCACCAGCAATCAAGCAGGTAACAACCTGTATGCCAGCTCTGTCAGGACACAACCAGATGGGTGGTGACACGGCAGGCAGGCATGAGGCAGCACCCAAGTGCTGGGTGATGCACGGTGGGTGCTACACCCTGCCCAGCATCCGTGCGATCCACCAGTTGCAGGGCATGATGATCCGGCAGATGACCCTCCCGCCCTGGTAGCAGTAGGGGTAGGGGTAGTAGCCCAGGAGGGGCTCGCAGACCCGCCGGCAGTAGCGGTTGGCACGGCGGCACTGGGCACAGCAGTAGCCTCGCTCATCCCACAAGGGGTGGAACTCCAGCCCGTTCTCTGACTGCCAGGAAGAGCCAGTGTCAGTGCAGCAAGGGGAATGTGTGGCCAAGGCACCCTGGCAACATGGCCAGGACACCCCAGGAGCATGGACAGGACATGCTGGGAGGGCAGTTTGGGCAACCCACAAGCATGGGCAGAACACCCTAGGAATGTGGCCAGGGCACCCCAGAAGTATGGCCAGGACACCCTGGGACCGTGGCCAGGACACCCCAGGAAGCATCACCAAGACCACCTAGGGACATGGCCAGGACAGGCCAGGAACGTGACCAGGACACCCTGTGACCATGGCCAGGGCACCCCAGAGTGCGATTCCCCACACTCACATAGTCATTGACGGGCAGGTCCTCCTCGGTGAGCTGCCGTGCCCGACGCTTAGGCCCTAGCTGCACATCCTTCTCCACCTCGTGTTCGCTCCCCCCATCCAACCAGCTCTGGTTGTCTATGAGCAGCTCAGGGTCTTCTTCTTCTGCCCCTTCAAGGTTGGCCAACTCAGGAGCTACAGGAAGAGCCCAAACATTACTGTCAGCAACCAGGGAGCAGGGGGACAAATGCAGCAGCAGACATTAAAGTCTTTACCAAAATTTGGTGCCAAGGTACAAGAAAAGCCCACCAGCAAACCAGCTGCACTCCATTGCCTCCTGTTCTTACCAAGCCTGGGAGAAGGGCTGTGGGAGATAATATGGCAGGAGGAGAGAGTAAAGAAGACATGGCCTGTCCTCTCCCCATGCTCATGGGTGGTGGGTCCCTGTGGGTGGTGTTGGCATGCCCTGCATGAGGCTGTGGGCATGGGGAAGCATGTTCTCATGGTGGGCTCCGCTGCTGTGGGCAGGGTTTGTAGAGCCTCAGCAAGGTGACGTGACTTGGGGCAGATTAGGCCCAGCTGCGGCACCTATGGCTTAGGTAAGACCCACAGTGACATTCATTTCCTTTGCTGAAACTCAGCTGCAGAGGGGGTCTAACAGCAGGGCCTGAGGAAGCAGAAAGGGGACAGCAGCCTCCCTCTACATCAGGGATCTCTGATGCCCACTTGCCCCCAGGACCATTGATGGCTGTGAGCTGACTGGTGCTCAGGGATGAGACATGTCTCTGTCGCTGCATTGCAGAGAGAGTTTTCTCGGTAGGGGTTTTTAAACTAGCTCATTCGGGTAGAAGTGGGTTAGAGAGAGTGGGTAATTACGCTGGCAGATCTCAGAGGCCACAACCTCTGTGAGGGCTGTGTAGTGAGCAGCTGGAGGTGGCAACCCCGTTGTGTGATTTAGATGCAGATGTCTGCTCATGCTCTGATGTTCATGCGGTGACGAAAATTTAGGCGTCCCAGTTTCCAGCAGTGCTGGCTGCTTTGCATGTACAAAGGGTTGGGGTTTTTTGCCTTGTTATGAGGAGGGTGGCCACTCTGCAAAGTGCAGGGCAGTGGGGAGCCGGCAGAGACAAGCGCTTTGCAGAAAGAAACTTCAGCCCCTGCTATTACACTGGCCATGCTCTCTCGTGGTCATGACCAACATTGTGTTCATGCCTGAGATGTACAACAAGGTTGTGGAAATGGGTTCCCACCACATCACAGCAAGGGACAGGGCAGGGGGCACATGGGTGTGTGGCAGGGCTGCTCCTGGTGAGGGGGCTAATGAGTACTTAGGGGAGGACATGGCTCCTTGTACCTGCTATTGGCGTGGGGTGGATCCAGTAGATGGTTACATTTCTGCAGATGTCAAAAATTTTGGAGCTCTTCAGGAACTCCTTGTTCTGAATGGGCTTTTCCCCAGGCACCCAGACCACGGACTGCTCAAAGTAGGTGGTTGTGATTTCTTCTCCCTGGAAGAAGAGCAAGATTTCACCCCAGTGTGGTGAGACACCCTCTCCCCATGGCTGGCTGCTTCTCCTCCCCTTGGCTTACCCAGAGGCACCTCTCCCCTCCCAGAGAGCAGCTGGACTTCATCCTCTGTGGCTTGTGGTGCTCACTGGGTGCACATGCAATATCCCGCTGGCCCTCATGTAG